CCGGGCGCCTGGCTAATGGGAAGCGATTCGGCAGGAGCGCCGCGGGCCGGGGAGGGGCGGCCCAGGCTGGGCGCGGGGCGCGGGCTGTGCTGCGCGAGGAGCCCGGGCCCTCGAGCTCTCCTCCTCTGCGGAGCTTAAACGTGTCCTGCTTGGGGGGGCACGAGAGAAGGGGGCAGGGGTGAGGACATTCGTGCTCTTCATCAGTAACGACCCGTATGTTTGCTTTTGATTCAAAGGCTCCACGTTTGCCAAAGCCAAGCCTGAAATTCCATGGACATCCCTAACCAGGAAAGGAATTGTGAGAGTTGTGTTTTTTCCATTGTTCAGCCAATGGTGGATACAGGTTACCTCCCAGCGTATTTTTATGTGGCTTCTGGTGCTCTACCTTATGCAAGGTAAGGAGAGGGAGCATCTGTGCCATAGGCTTTCTTTTGTGAGGAACGTAAATCCTTAAGCAGTGTGATAAGGATTGATCTGAAACGCTCGTGTCTGAGCATGGGCTGCTGGCAAGGCTTTGCCTTGTGTGCTTGTGTGTGCTTGTGTGGGCTCCGCGGTCACCTTTTCTAAGGTGATTACATTGCCTCCTGTGCTGTGTTTGCTCTGTGGTGTCTTGTCCATGGGGCTTGATCTCATTTAATTCACAAATGCTGTCTGTGTGTGTGACCTTGAACCAGCTATGTAATCAGGAGTGCTCTGAGGGTTGGTCTCGCTGTGAAGTTACGATGGTATTTCATTGATGTGTGTAAGGCACTGGAAAAGAGAGAGTAATCACCTGGATAAAACAAGTTTCCAATTTTCATTTGTTGGACTGGGTCTGGGACTGCTTCAGACAGCTTGTTTGTACCTACAGCTGCATCCATACTGTAGTTGCCTTGCTTGAATTCCTGAGGTGGATTTTATGTAGAACAGTTAAGTGAATAGTCTTTGATTGGCGTGGTTCCAGAACGGACTGGAAAATTCAATTTTATTTCTTCCTGGTCTTAAAAATATGTGGATTTAGGCAGCCTCTTTTTCAACCTTAACGTTTTTATCAATTAAATCTCTGCAGAATGTGTCCCTGTAGTTCTAGTAGAACTATATGCCTGATTCTTTATGCCGTGACTAAACCCCTTTTCTCTGAGGTGTTCTCTCAGCTTTCTTTGTCTCACAGTCCTGTGTTTATTCTGTGGACACATTTTCTACCTCCCTAATGCATAAGGGAGGCTGTTTAGCAAAGGTGCTTTCTGTTGCTGTGTACAGGAACAAATGTGCTGTATTGTGACAATTTATAGCTCAGGATTCTTGTGTGTCAGCTTGGTTCTGTCATTATTGTTCTCTGATTTGGAATTTTGGTCTGCTGAAGGTTATGAGTTGCTTTATCACAGAACACCATTTAAAGCAGCTTTTTTTTTTTTAATGTTATTTTCTTCTTTGTGCTTTTGCATCCTGTGCTTTGGTAAATTTATAGCCCGCTCCACAGAATAAGCAATTCCTGTGCAAAAATGCCTCACAAGATGTTTAGTATCAGAATTTGGAGAAAGAATAAAACAGAGTAAAAATAAACAGTGAAGACAGAAGAAAGAAGTAGGTGAGCTGCCAATGTAACCTTTGTGCTTGATACAATTTTCTCTTTTTCAGTGATAGCAGTTGCGCTGTATTTCATGATGCCTGTTGTGAGTGCGAGTGAAGTCATGGGACCAATGTGCCTTATGCTGCTCATGGGGACTGTTCACTGCCAGATAGTGTCCACACAGATGAACAGACCCGTGGGGACCAACGGGCTCAGCAGGCGCCGGAGGTAGGAGTGCTGCCCAGCTCCTTTGTTGGCATCAAAGCATGTAGCAGATAGAAGATGGTGCATGAATGTATTCTATTTTTATATAAATACATTATTTAACTATAAATGTGAAAATGAGCATTTTTGATCTGACTTGCTCACAACCTGGACAGGTGCTGCAAATTTGCTGATTACAGACCATTATAGCTCTGCTTTAGTTTGCACTTGGACAAAGTAGCTTCTAAAGTAGATTTGCAATCCAGGTCCTTTTGTGGCCAGAGGAAGGCATTGTGCATTGTCAGGCATCCTCCAGGAGTTTGCTTTGCAAAGCAAATTGGAATTCTGCTTTGGCATAACTGCCAAATTGGAATTGGAAATTGCTGACGTGTTTTGATAAGAGGCAAATGATGACAGAAATGACTTCATTGCTGGTAGACTCATTGCTGGGAACATCTCTTTTTGTGCGTGTGGAAGATGTTACAGTTCATCTGTTAGATATTTAACTTTTAGTTGTCTGACTCGGTGCAGATGCTGATAATGTGTTGAACCCAGGATGGCGAGTGTGGGTATGACCTTGACTCTGTTAGATTTCTGCTAAAGAAAGTGTTCAGATTTTGTCTGTTGTGTCCTTTTTCAATTCATTTACTAGTGATGTTGATGTCCTGTAGGTATATGCATAATTTAGGTTAATGCTAGTAAAATTTACTTTATTATGTATGGAAATGAGCCTTCTATGTGCATGACTCATTTAAAATAGCATCTACAGACTGTTTAAATCTGAATCAGATTTTTTAAGAAAGACCTAAAAGTTTGTTTTGTTTTGTTTTTTTTAAATCAGGAAATTGCGCAAATCTGTGGGTGTTGATGGGAACAGTTGGTCTTCTCCTGACAAAGCCAGTAAAGAAGAGCAATCAGAATCTGCATCCACTTTTGACAATTTATTTGGCATGCTTTTCCGAAGGAGGTCTGGGATCTTTACTGGGTTTGGTCTGTTTGTAATGTCAGTGGGCAAACAACATCTCAAACAATATCTCAAAACTGCAGACAAAATGTGTATTGTCACTAATGTCACTAAAGTCTGTCAGTTAGTTTCTTTCAAACTAAAAGTATTGTTACTGTGGGAGGAGACTATTTCCTCCTGAATCTTAAGTCTGTCGTTAATATGAGATTGGAACAAATCTCATGTTTTTTTTTTTTCTGAAAGTAATTCAGGAAGAAGTAGGATAAACAGTTGTGATATTATTTAAATGTATTCCACTGGTTTCTCAGTTGAGTTTCTTGACGAATTCTAAACTGACAGGACCTTTCTTTTGATGCAAATATTCTGTCGTCTTAAGTTGCTTTTTGTTAGTTTTTCAAAATTACAATAAGAAAATATTTTCTTCTGCGTTTAGCAGTTTTAGGGCACTTGCAGGGTAATAACAGGAACCAGCTTGTGAGAAGCAGATCGTGGCCCTTTTTATTAAAGGGACATCGAAGTGTCTGACAGCGAAGTACAATTCAGTAGTCCCTCAGTTATTGCTTAGTGTAGGACCTGCATCACAACTGAAAGAGACCCTGGTGTCATTGCCAAAGATCTTGTATCTGCCATTAAAGTATGTAATTGTATTTTCTCTCACAGAATCAGAAGAGTAAAGCTGGTAGCTGAAAAGGGGACTGAGACAGAAAATGATGCAAGTGCTGTGAGTAATGGCATTAAACACAGACACGCCAGATCGGAACACAGGCTGCTGCCCTTCAAAGAGAAAAATAAACTTTCAGATGGGGAAGAGAGTCATCAGGTACTAGCAGGAAAATCCACTTCAAATGGCTAATTTCAGTATAGTCTCTCTGTGTTGAAAAGTTTGTTGCTACTGGATTGATCTCATCCAAGACACTTTCTTTCTCTACATATTTTTGCTTACAAATAGAAAACCTAAAAACCCTTTCTACTCCTCAAGCTGACATGGTGCTAATGCTGAACTCTCAACACATTTTCGTGTGTGTGTTACAACTGTCAAGTATATTAAACATAGGCAATCCTAAATATCTGTTATATTGAATAGCTTGTTTAGCTGTAGAGACATCAGGTCTGAAGCTGTTCAGTTAAGGAAAACTGCTGGTAATGATAAAAAATAAATAAGCAGATACTCAAAAGCATTTATGCAAGCAGTCCCCTTATGTTCCTGGGGCAGGCATGAAGATAAAGACTGAAGCATCCCCTCAGGGAGAGGGAGGGACTGAGCTCAAGCACTGTGACTTCTGCAAAAACTTGAAAATGTTAAGCTTTCTGGAGCTGTTATTTCTGAGGCTCCTCTGGAGTTAGAGGGTGTCACCTCCCATCTGAAGAGCTGAGAGGAGGATGTGTGCTGAGCAGCATGGTGCCCTACCCTGCAACTCATCTGTTTCTAGGCATTTGGGAAGAAGAGAGGTGCAGGGGGACATGTGCCATAATTCAGGGCCTGCTGGGCAACAACTTGTAGATGTGGCAGTCCTTTTGGACTTGGAGCTGCTGGTAAGACACAGCCCCAAGAGCGGTCCCCTCCACCTCAATCTCACCCTTTCGTGCCCATTGTCCCCTAAGCCCAACCCAAGATCCACTCCCATACAGCAAGGCAGGGGCAGGGACAGAGAGCTGTATTTTGTGCCACTGCCATGCTGCCAACCTGGCTTCGTTTCTGTGCCTCGTGGAGTGTCCCCTTCGCCTGGCTCCGACAGGGAGCTGGAGGCTGTTGTCGATGCAGGGATCCTAGCAGGGTACCAGCAGTGCTGGCCTGGGACCTCTGCGGTCAGGCAGCTCAGCGTGCTCGTGTTTTGGCTGCTGTTTTTCCAGAATGAGTGCACCAATGCAGGTGGTATTTCTGATGAGCTTTCAAGTGAGGAGGATGCTGAGGCCATGGCACAAAGGAGTGTGTTACACCAGAGTGTGGATGGGGCCTCCAGTGACAATAGCTATGAAGATAATAAGAAGAGACCCGTTGTTTCGCTGAACCAGGCTGTTTCACAGGTACTCGTGATGAATTAATATAGTTTCCCACCCACTATCATGCTATGGATAGTGAGCTGATTTTTATTTATTTTTTGGCAGGTCAAACAAGCTCTTAAAGGCGCCAGAGACTCTGACAGTGTCGTGGAATCTGAACTAGAGTCCACCCTATACAGTCAGGTATGGGCTTGATGCAAGAGGTGTGGGGTCACTGAGCCTGTGCAGTGCCAGAAAAGCCCCCCAGCTAAGATAAACACCATTAAATGACAGCGTTTCAGCATCTTTGCCTCCCTGCCTGTTTGCAGCTTTGTGAATCTATTTTGTTTAACCCCAAAAAATTGTTCCACCAGCAGCAGCAATGTGATCCCAGTTGCCTGTAATTGCTTGTGTTGAAGGTTTATAGTTTGTGAAGCAGCACTGTACAGCAGCTTTTATACTAACCTTTTGTTTTGCAATGAAGAAATGAATCTAAATCTTTTATTGATACCTAAATGCTTTCACTTTATCCTTTTCCTTATTCTCCCTCCCCTGCTACTCCCATCACTGAAAAATAAAATATACACCAATAGCAATAAAATGCACTCATAAAAAGCTTATGTAAGTAAAGTCTTTAAGTTTATGTAAAAAGCATCTGAATGACTAAGTCAATTTTTAGTTTTCAAAGTTGGAAATAGGAATGGGGATAACTGCTGTTTCTGTGTAACTTCCTACATGGAACTACTAGTTACAAAAGTGTCACTGTGTGGTATTGCTGTCAACAAAGCCCACATCGGCTTAGATCAGGTAGCTGTGAGCCAACTTAGCTGCTGGTTGGAGGCATGGGATGTGGCTGTGGGAATGTTTTCCTGTCTTCAAGGACTCAAGGTCCTGCATCAGTACAGGATCTCGGAGCTGCAGCCTGACCCGGAGAGACTCCGAGAGCACCCGCCACGACTCTGAGACCGAGGACATGCTGTGGGACGACCTGCTGCACGGGCCCGAGTGCCGCTCCTCCTGCACCAGCGACAGCGAGGAAGTGACCGTGAGAGGGGCGAGGCGGGACGCGAAGGAAGATGTTTTCCAGCAGGTTGGCTCATCCACAGTAGCACAGGAAACTGTCTGAGATTTTCTTCTCCAATTTTCCCCGCCTTCCCCCCCCCCCGCCAGTGTAGTATTGTACCTGCCCACATAATATGAAAAATTGGTCTAATGTGGCTGTAATGCGAACTACCAAGCACTTGATGACCCCCCTTCTGTCAGCTGAGGGAGAATGAGCTGAGCAACAGTAATGAACCCTCACTACCCAGGTATTTGGACAACTGATAATCCTGAAATGAAGTAGTTCACTCAAATCTGGAATCGCTTTTGCAACCTGACCTAGGCAAATGGGCAGCAATACATCATTATGTCTGTTGCATTTTTTTTCTCTTTTATAGAACCATTTGTTTTGGCTGCAGAATACAAGTCCAGCATCTGCAAAAGTGAGTGCACTGATCTGGGAAGGAAATGAGTGTAAGAAGGTGGACATGTCTGTGCTGGAGATCAGTGGGATTATCATGAGCAGGGTAAGGACTGCAAACCCCTCCTTCTCGCACTTAGAAACAAAACAAAGCACAATCCTCCCTCCTCCCCCCAAACTGAAACTAGCTATACCTGCAAATATGAAGTGTAGTATAAAGTTGCAACCTGTCCCTCAAAACTGCACCTGGCTTGGAAAGTCTTACGTAGTAATTACATGTGCAAAACACAGGGAAGTTCTCAAAGGTGCTCTGAGTCTAAAGAGCACAGGTGTTGTTGGCTGTATGTCTGCAATGTGCTGATTTTTTTTTGGCGGGGTGGTGAGGTCGTTTGTTGTCTGCAATAGGAGAGATTTTTTTTATGCTGTGTCCATGGGCGGTGGTGCTAGAGGGGCTGATGCTGCAGTGATTTAATGCTGCTACAGCAGCCTGCCTTTCCCTTGATACACAGTGTTTTTTTTTTTTTTTTTTTGTTGTTGTTGTTGTTATTGATTTGTTCCTGCTCATCAGGTTAATGCCTACCAGCAGGGAGCAGGGTACCAAATGCTGGGCAACATCATCACCATTGGATTAGCATTCCTACCATTCCTCTACAGACTGTTTCGCACAGATAACCTGGAGCAGCTGTGCTCCATTTCTGTAAAGGAGCTTTTGCACATCTTTTGTGGTGCACCTGCTAGCATTCCTGTCATTGTTTTGTCTGCTATCAACTTCCTTGAGCGACTTTGCTTAACCTGGATGTTTTTCTTCATGATGTGTGTTGCTGAGAGAACATACAAACAGGTATGTCTGCACCGTTGCCTTTCCCGAACCCTGCTGAGATCCTTCTGCCTTTCATTAGAGGCTTTGGTAGGCCAAAGCCCCAGCTGGCAAATGTGCTAGAAGTTTAGGTAGGTGAGGCTGCTAAGATTCCTTGTCATTAACAACATCTTGAAGTGGCAGTCTGCATGGAAGTGACAGGGTGCAAGAAGATGACAACACCTACAGTTTCCTATTTAAAGATGGAGAATGTGCTGTTTACATCGCATCTCCCTCAGTGGGCAATAACTTTGTCGAAGTGGCTGTGGATATTGCATGTTAGGAAGGGGGTGTCATTTATTGGGTTAGTGAGAGCGTTATGGTTCAGCTGCCACAACAGCAGGTCTATCTCTGCCACACACAACCTGAGCACCATTAGTCACCTGGCTGGGGGCGGGGGGGGGGGGGGTGCCTAAAGGGGCCAAATAGGCTTTTCCAGTGTGTCATTTTTCTGCCATTGTTACCAGTTATCCCCAAATTTCTTTTTCTTTCCTTTTTTTTTTTTAAACATTTTAAACTAATTTATTTTTTTTTTTTTTTTAATTTGCAGAGGTTTTTGTTTGCCAAACTTTTTAGTCATATTACCTCTGCTCGGAAAGCCAGGAAATATGAAATTCCTCATTTCAGACTCAAGAAGGTAGAAAACATTAAGATCTGGTTATCCCTTCGTTCTTATCTAAAGGTGAGTTCTGATCTAAGACGGGTATATTTATTATAGTGGATATAAATTAGGTCCCTAGCACTTTAGTCACTATTTTTCTGACATTTTGGACATCAGTGGTTGAATATTTAAACAATTATGACCATGCCTATTCAGCCTGGAGAAGAGAAGGCTGAGAGGGGATCTAATCAGTGTATATAAATACCTCAAGGGAGGGAGTGCAGAGGACGGGGATGGTCTCTTTTCAGTGGTGGCCACTGATAGGACTAGAGGAAATGGCCGGAAACTGAAACATCAAAAATTCCATAGGAACTTAAGGAAAAATTTCTTAACAGCGAGGGTGACAGAGCACTGGAACAGGCTGCCCAGAGAGGTTGTGGAGTCTCCTTCTCTGGAGATCTTCAAACCCGCTTGGATGCAGTCCTGCGCCACGTGCTCTAGGTGTCCCTGCGTATGCAGGGGGGTTGGACTAGATGATCTCTAGAGGTCCCTTCCAACCTTAAGCATTCTATGATTCTATGATTTGTGGAGAGCATTGTCATTGCAGCTGTAATAGGATGGAGTTTAGATCTAATCAGCATCACTGTTTCTGCAGCGGCGAGGCCCCCAGCGATCTGTGGATGTTGTCGTATCCTCAGTCTTTTTACTGGCACTTTCAATTGCTTTTATATGCTGTGCACAGGTAAGCTTTTTCATGTTCTTTTTCTTTTAAATAAGTAGGAAATTGTTTCCTACAACTGGGGAAAGCAAAGCAAAGTTCAAGGTAAAAGCAGATTAGAAACAGGTCCTTTTATTTTAACCTAGGTCCAAGAATGAATTACAACTCCTGGGGTGGGGCGGGGGGGGTGGAATCTCAGGCAGTAGTTGTAGAGCAGAGCTATCTATCTGTGTGCAAGAAGAATAAGGGTAAGGCTTTTGCCTCACACCAGAGAACCAGCATGTTACTCTTTATTGACATTGGCTCTTTTTTTAACACAGGTTCTTAAGGGTCACAAGACATTTCTGAATGCAGCTTACAACTGGGAGTTCCTGATCTGGGAGGCAGCACTTCTTCTCTTTCTATTGCGCCTGGCATCCTTGGGCTCTGAAACCAACAAGAAATACAGTAATATTTCAATCCTGCTCACTGAGCAGGTATTTCTATTTAGCTCATTCCCCTTTGTCTTTTTGGCTTGTTTGGATATAATTATTGCTCAACTCATATTAAAAGACACTGGAATCAAATTGTAAAATTTATAAACTTGTGCTGTGCAGTACTAAAGGGGAACACTCTACAGCAGCAGAGAAGTTATTAAACACTTGAGTAGATTCAAATTCCCAAATTCTAGAATGTTTTTGACTTTAGGTTAAGAATATCTGTGTAATTTGGAAAAAGCATGTGTGACCACTATTCAATTCTGTCTGTAAATGCATCTCTTGAGTGGCAGCTGAGTACAAAAATGGCTGTAATTTCCTTCAGTTAGAAATGAGTTGGGGGTGGTGAGAAGAGGGCTAAAACTAGACTGTTAGCATTGACTGTAACGTCTGTCTGTTGCAGATAAATTTATATCTAAAGATGGAGAAGAAGCCAAACAAGAAAGAACAGCTGTCACTAGTAAACAATGTCTTAAAACTATCTACGAAACTACTGAAGGTAAGTTCCTCTCCTTAAAACACACGGTTGCTCAATTTAATGGGAACAATGACTAATGTTACTATCATATGGCTTTGCTCTTCCTCGTTCTAGTCTCTCCTGTTTAGGTAGGTAAAATAATTTCCTTTGTGAAAACTTATTATTACTATTATTTTTAACTGTTTGTTTTCACAAAGGAAATTATTTTATTATTATTATTACTATTATTTTTAACTGTTTCTATAACCATGGCCTAACATCTAGCACCACATGACCTGTGAGCTAATTGGTGCTGTGCACATTTGATTCATAGCAGCCTACTGGAATTCAGGTCAGTTGGGAAACTGGTCATTAAGAGTAAGTTCTTGAAGTAAGAACTTACTACTTTTCCATGAGGAAAGTAATTTACTTCTTTTCCATGGGGAAACCCATTATTGACAGTAGCAAGTAGGTATTTGGAAAAGAAAGAGCATAGTCTAGGTCAACAGAATAGGGAAATTATACAGCTTGTTATATCAAGCGTTTTATATCAAGCCTATATTTTGCTGCTTCCATTTCTACAACATAGACTTCAAATTTGGGATGGCTGTTAAAAAAAAAAAAAAAAGAAATCATTGAGCTGGAACACACAAGGTAATTATAGTGGGAGATTCAGCCCTCCCTGCCCCCCAGGTTTAAAGCAGGATATAGCTGCAGGCCGTGATTAGCAAAATCTGGCAGAATAAACAGTATTAAGTTAAAAGCCAGAAGAACATCAGCCACTTCTGGTAGGGACTAATTTTAACTGTTTTTTTTTGTTTGTTTGTTTTGTTTTTTTTTTCTTTCACACAGACCTGCGGACTTCAGGAATTAGATACACCATTCAGGCTGTATGGACTAACCATGAATCCGTTGATCTACAACATAACACGTGTTGTGATACTTTCTGCTGTCTCAGGTGTTATAAGTGATCTTCTAGGATTCAATATCAGGGTAAGTACAGCCACCTCATCTAACAAGAAACACGTTGTACTTTTGTGGCAGGGCCAGCAGCCTCGCATTAGCCCCCACCCCTGCCTTAGTGGCAGAACAGGCCCTGCTAGATGAAGCCCCATCTCCAGGAGCCAGGTGGTTGGGGAGGGACAGGCCTGTCTTAAACTGCAGCCTTGTTAGAGTCTTTAGTGCCCACTCAAAGCCAGAGGTTGGAATCCCTGAGCTCTCTTCCTTTAGGATAGACAATCCTGCTGTCTCACTTTTGGACCGGTGCTCACTGAGCACTAAGTGCAGAAGCAACTTGTCTGTAGCTGTAAAGTTCCCTGCACACTGTCCCAACCCCACTTCCTTATACAGAACCTCTTCCCTTCTGCACACATTTTCCCGTGCTCAGAACATGAGTGTCACTTCTAGTCCCTCTCTCTCTAACCACAGAACGGAGTCAGGAAAAAACCCTCTTCACCGACTGCTACTGTTATTCTCAGGTTGCCTTCTGAAATACAGGACAAAAAAAAAAAACAAACACGCTTGTCTCCTTCCACATCAGTGTGAATTTAACTGTTATGGATTTGGTACAGCATTATGAACAATATTGAAAATAATTCAAAACCAAAACAGGTTTGTCCTTTAAAAAACAAATGCCTGGGCATATCAGAACTGCTTAAACTGACAAACCAGTTTGAAAAGTGGCGATTTAGACATTTCTTCTACAACGGTAAAAATAACCAAAGATCAGCATCTGTCAGCCCAGTACTCCCTCTCAATTTGTCTTTTCAGTTATGGAAAATTAAACCATGAACAGATCAACATCAGCATCAGAAAGACAAGACCAGAGGATAACCAATTGCTTGGGCAAAAGGCAGATATGCTCAAATTATGGAAATCTGTAATTACGACTTCTTCAGCAGATTCTCAATGTATGTATCAATAGTTTTTCTTCTGCTTTACTGTTCACAGAATACAGAATATTCTGTATACAGAATAACTAGAGAAGTCACCCTATGATGTGCACTTATATTAAAACAAAATAATTGGGGCCAAATAGCAGTAGTTTGCATTTGAAAACCGCAGGAACTGTGTGCACATACTTCAGGGCACTGAACACTAAAAGCCCCGTGACAGCTGTTACTGGAAGGATACAGACAACTGCTACAGGTGCTAGTGAACAGTCAGCACTGCTGTTTCAGTTAGTAGCATCCTTTTTCAGGGAGTTCTGGAATTGTTGTTACATTTTTCAAATTTCTGCAGGCTTCTTCAGAGCTCTTTTCAGATACATCTATGTATGACTTGATCTATTTATTTGAATGTGCTGAAGATTTTTTTTTTTAAACTTAAAATAAGCTCAGTGTGTTTTAGGCTTTGCATCTTTATCCTGAGCCACTAAAGGATGCAGTGGAATTCAATCTGCACAGGATAAACATTTCCTTCATGCTGACAATTAAGTTTGCAGCTGCATAGCAGCAGTTGATGGTAGGTCTCCTGAAAATAAATGATATCACTTTGGAAAACATTAGCTAAATGAAAACAAGCCTACAACACAGATTACAAGTAAAGCATCTATCAAGTAGAGAATCCTGCCGTGTTCACTCCCTGCTCCTGCTCTGCTGTGTTCATGCTGATGGTGCTTCCTAGGTCTTTCCCTTGGGGGCAGGTACAAAGGGCATCATCCTGTTGGAACCTCTTCTGCCAACCAGCCTAACTGCAAAGCGCCTGACCCTGGAATGCCAGAGAAACAGCTGGTGTGAGAATCGGGGCAGTGGTAGAGACACGACAAAGACTTTTTCCCTGCAAAAGCAGATTATTGTTGTAGAAGTGGCACAGGAGCGAAACAAAATGTTTTAATGACATATGTTAAACTTATGTTTTCCTTCAGGTTTGGTAACTCTGTTATCTTCTAGTATATTAGTATTGAAAAAAAGAAAAAACAGAGGACCATTTCAAAGCTTCAGTCTTTGACATAGGAGGTAAGATGAAAAAGGAGGTTTTGGTAGACATTGTTTACAGTTATTTTCTGTACAAGGAAAGGTTTTAAGATGTAAAAGGAAGTGACGGTTTTATATATCAAAATGTACAAATAAACCTACAGTACCAGTATTTCATCATACACAATTTATATGACTTGATTTGATGTTTTTTATAGTACCTTTGTTGAACAAATGTTACCTGAACAAGGAGGCAATTAAACTTCCAATAATAAATTGCATTTGTTTTCCAGAAGAGTTTTATGCTTATGGGTAAAACCTGGGTCTTATACTGAACTGTTAAATACAGGTATCACACCACAAAGTCAACATGAATGTGTTTTATACAGTGCAGAACCAACAGACCATGAACTGGAGTTTCTTTTTAATATCTATATAAAAAATAATGAGCGATTTACAGGTCTTTCTCTAGTCAGAACCTCAGAAGTATATATAAAGGTGCTGTACAATATATAAACATTTACACCCAGTACATCCATACATTGCTTAGCATTCCAAGGCCACATTGCTAAGTCACCTCATACAGTCAATACAGATACAAGTTCTGTGGAAGGAGAAATCACAGACAGATCAGACACTAAATTAGATCACATTAACAGAAAAAAACGGGTAGTTTATGACAGGGAAATCATTTCAGTGGTGCTAATACATCTTCATATTAAACTTCTGAACTTGTCAGATCTGCCCTAAAGTCTACTTATTTTTCCAAAAGTGTTTAAAAACTTCCTTAGGTTTTAAGTCATCTGTACTTCTGAAGAATTATTCAACTCAGAACTGATCCACTGTGCTTCATTAAACTTGAAAACCATTCAGTGTTTAAAGCCAAAGATGCTGCTCAATCACTTTCGATTAGATAGTTGTATTAGTATGATTTTTAACATGAATAAGTAAAGCTTGACCTTCTGTACTACCTTCTGCTTCTACAAACTGGACCAAATTGCTTCTTGTACCACTTTTTTGCAGACACTAAGGAAGCCATCACTAAAACTTCAAAGAAATTAAATCTCTTCATTTTTTTCAGCTCACTGTTTTCACAGCTAATTATCCTGTTGGTAGCATTCTTCCTACTATTTTAAAATATACATTAGAGCCCAAACAATAGATATTACATCTCATGTTGCCTCTACTATTATTCTATTTAACGCTCTTAGATCACACATTTCAGATAAGATAGGGGACACTTCCAGTGTGCACAGGCAGAATTAACTTCATTCAAGAAGCTACAGTTTGGCTCTGTCCTAAAGATCAACTGTTATCTTTACAGAGGAAAACAACCCCAATTCTTAACTAGCGCTAAATAATGAACGAAGGAAATTTCAATATATAGCACCAGAATGACACTACAATATATGCACTTGCATATATTTACAAAGAATGCTAGGGATGACATCCTGCCACAAGGGAAGCCAAAGGAATTGTACTATTTCACAGAATCCAGAAATCTCTCTTTTTAGACAGATGTTTGCCAACAGTTAATATGAGCATCCTCATGAATCAAGAAAATAAAACAATTTTGCTGTGTTCATAAAAAGCAGAATTACATCATGTCAAACATAATTCTTATCTACATGATTTTATATTAGGTATAAAAATAAAATAAAAAAACCAAACATATCTTTTGGAACAGCATTAGTGGCTCATTGCTGCCCTAGAATTGATAAAACCAACCCACCCATCTTCTTACAGAAGCAGTAAAAACATGGGTATTTCCTTATGTAAACATGCAACATGCTCTTGAGAAAATATCCATTTTAAATAAAACCTTGTCTTTTCTGTGACTGGATTACATATGAGAAGGATTAGATTGACTGGATACAGTAGGTAACTTGGCACAAGAACAAGTGAGTCATGATCACACTGGCAAAATAGGCATTAAATAATTTTGTTCAGACCCTCACAATACTATCTGGGAATGTTGTAGCAGTGCAACGTTGGGAGCAGCAGACACCGCCTCCGAAGGGACAAGGGGGAAGCAGCTTATGGAGGAGTTTCATTTAAGCAATCCAAAGTTCCTTCATGCAGCTTAGATAATTTAAGAATAAATCAGATTATTTTCCAGCCTCTAAACAGTTTCTGAAAAATGATGACTTTATGTAAAGAAATAGTACTTTTAAGTGACCGTCATTAGGAAGTTGATGAAAATATGTTTTAAAAAAAGTGTCAGTCAAACCCGTTTTTCAGCCACGCTTGCTGTTTTGGTGACTTTACATGCACTTGGTACCTTCCAAGGTCCAGGTGTTATTGGTGCTCTCTTAACTGGTGAACTGTTCTCTGATTTCGAGACTCCATCATCTTTGGTTTCATCAAGTGGCCCCATGTGTGTGTGTCTGTGTTGCCTGTTTAAAGTAACAGTCTCTGGGGGTTCCAGCCACCTTTGCTTCTCCATGGAAAGCAGTGGAATATTGGAAAGACTTGAAGTTTTGAATTTGCTGAAACTTGGCTCTCCAGAGTTTGACTTCTTTATTTTTTCATCTTCAGAGGATTTTGTCCTAGCATCACTGGCCTTACTGAATGGAAGAGTATTTTCAAATGCTGGGTATTTTCTCTCCAGCAGCCACCCTTCCTTCATTCCAGAACTTTCCTGGTTTGCATCTTTCCTTGTGACTCCTATTTTACCACTTCCACTTTTCAACTGCTCAGCAGTCTTAATGTCACCCTCAGTTGTTCTATCCTGATTCTCTTGCAACTTTGCTGACGTTTCTGTGGTTCCTTGTTTACCAAGATACTTCTGGGGACTGGCACCCCTGCCTTGGTTTGCTCTGGAATATTCTGTCTCGCTGCTGCTGTTCAGCCCTGCACATGTGGGTTTGCCCTCACCTCTTCTGGAACTGTCAGATTTCTGTGCGGGATTGCCAGGGAGCTTTCCAAGGTCACCCTGTCCAGGGCTGTGAAATCCAGTCTGATGTCGTCCCTCAGATGTCCCGAACCTTTCTGGACTTGCACATGTCTCTCTTTTTGTCATTTCCAACCCAGGACTGGAGGGATGACCCCATCTGCTCTTTGTTCTCTGCGGAGAAGACATAGGCTTAATCTCAGACGGGATTTCAGATAAAGTGCTTATCTTTTCAAGCACAGTGTTCTTGGCTTGTTCCAGTTTCTCAGACAGCTGAACTTTCATTAAAGCTTCTTCTGATGTTGGTAAATAACACACTTCAGATGGGGAAGCAGACTGTGAAGATGAAGATATTGGTGATGGTTCTTCATATATTACATTTGATGAAGATGGATTATAATTATCCCAATCACCTGAAAGAAAGAAGCGAGAGATTTGACTAAGACCTTACAGAAACAATATACTAAATATTTTAGAAGTGTGTTTACTACTGAGATTCCAGGATGTTATGCGAAATCTTCAACTTAGATAAGATTATGTAGTGATGTATTCTCAAAGTCTACTTAACAGTTTTCTCTACTTCACTGTTCTACAAGCTACAATCATAAGGATGTGATTTTTGAAATAAACTTATGCTTGAAATGCTCTGCAGGGTGTGCATGATCTCTGCAGGACTGACAGGGTCTTGTATCAGCATAGTGTTAGAGTCTACATAGCAGAATTGCAAAATAAAATATTCCTAGACCTACAGTGTTAAGATTTATACTAAAGAAAACTGAAAACAGTAAGAAGCTGAGGTTATTCGTAGCTTTGCACTTTAATAATAGGAAGAGATGAATCACAAGACATGCAGATTTACCAAGTCTTTAAGGAAAAACCAAGAAAAGCACTGAAAGCCCTTAGTGTTGCTCAGGTTTCACGTAGGGACACAGACTGGAAGCAGCCAAACCTGAAGGAGGAAGAGAAAAAGCCCAGAGCTACATACCAAAATCACAAGGGTACAGCAAGCCAGATTTCAACCAGAACTGTACAATTAGCAAGACAGGAGGCAACGCAGCCCTTCCCCTTCTCCCCAGTTGCTGATCTCCTCTAAGCTGCTAAACCTAATCTGAGCCGTGGCTTCTGACAAAGCTGAAGACAACGATCTCCAGAGACCCCATCTGACCCTTTGCAATTCTGCTTTGCTGTCAGTGGGCAAGAGGGACCAGCAACGATTCCAGACGCCTCTTGCACGTCCCCTTGGGGCACGTTCAACACGGCCACAGCTGAAACTACACCCACCCTAAGTAGCTGCCAGTAAGGAAAAAACTGTATCTGTATCACACAGAATCTTAAATAAAATCAAAATTAAAAGCCAAACGGTGATAACTGTCATATTTGAATAGAAGAAAGATGAGTTTTGATGGAGCAGAGAAAGAGATTACTAAAGTAAATATGCAATAATTTCACACATGATTTAATCTTCTTAGGCACTTATCATGCAATAATTTTTACTAAAAGTATTCCTTATATTTGCAAATAGTATGAGCAACTTGTACAGCTATCAAAAAGGAACTGCCAACTCCTTCAGTGAAACAGCATATCTTTATTAGACTCTATACCATTGCCTTGGACCTGAAAATGAATTAATATTTTAGATGACGTACTGTGATCTGGAATCAAGCCAGTCCCTGGTCTCAGCAGCAGCAAAACTTTATTCCCACCAGCCTGAATCAGCTCAATGGCTCGTGTGTGAGTGATTCCTTGGGTGGGTTCTCCGTTTATTTCAACAATTTGGTCACCAACCTGACAAGAAAATAGCAACCAGCTTAACCTTTATGAAGTTACACAATAACTGCTCTGTATTTCATAAAAGCTCAATACTGTTATGGCAGAACAGGCTTTATGTAAAGAAAAGAATTATTCATAGGTAAGAGTTCACCAACATTATGCAGTTAATAGCACTGAGGTGTTTGAGGCCAATTAGCAACTTGAAGAGGTAACTGGCATCTAATTACAGTTCACGCCAACTTTGCAGACTAGCATAAAGTGTCTGAAATAGAATTCTTGTGAAAAGCCTCATGAATCTATTTTGCAATGCTTAGATCAGCCGATGGATGTCACTAGTGCATAAAAATACCTGCTTAAAGAGTCCCGTCTGTGTTCTGTTAAATAAAATGTCTTTGCCAAAGAAAGTCACTAGTTGGTTACTCATCTGATGGGACAGGAAGCCCCACACTGCACTGTGTGCACCACATTGTGCTCAGCTGCTATTAGCTGGGTGAGAAATTCCTCCTGGTTATTTGAAAGTACAGCCATGAAATGACAGCATTTTACAGCTGAATAAGGACAAGCTGGATGTGAAAGAGTGAGTAACCTCCTGTTTGGCAGGTACAGACCTTGCGTCCCCAGCGGGAGCTCCTGGGCATGTGGCACCCGACCCCTCCTGCACCACCACGGCCCCTGGCACCTGCTCTGCAGCTCTTGCAGCAGCCACATCCACCCCCATCACTGCAGCAAGGACCTGCACAAAGCCCAGGGCAGCAGAGGCTGCTGCTCTGTGTCCCACAGCAGCCACGGGTGAAGTCACCCAGACTGCTGCACAATTCACCCGCTCTCTCACATTACACTAACACTTCTTCTGCTATTGCCACTCACGGAGCTACATTAGGCAGTATTTTACTCACACAGATGCACTGCTAGAAAGTGCATGAGGATGAAAAACAAGTGAGACCTTTCAAACGCTGGTAGGACAAGCAGCTGTGTCTGCTCTTCCACTTTTCAGCTGCAACTGCACTACTGGATCTGAACAGTGTGGTTTTGCAGCTAGATCCTGCTCTATCCTACAGCGTGGGTACCCACTTTTCAAAAGTAGGGTCCCGGGAAACAGTAAGTGAAGAAACAAGCCTGTTGCTCATATGGGGTTGAATCTTGCTCTGCATCTCTGCCACCTACAATTTCAAGTCACCCATAGTCTACAGGCCAGAAGGACATCAGCCCCTTCTGGCCCCTTCCCCAGCCACAGGATCATTTCTTCTTTTAAAGCCAGGTCTACCCCGCCAGAACTTGCTATGACCGCACAGTAAGAACTGAGAGACTGGCAGCTGTCCGGATACTGCTCTGCCCGCTGGGAGGCCAATGGGATCCTGGGGTGCGTTAGGAACAGCGTCTCCAGCAGGTCGAGGGAGGGGATCCTGCCCCTCTGCTCAGCCCTGGTGAGGCCACATCTGGAGTATTGTGTCCAGTTCTGGGCTCCACAGGACAAGAGGGATGTGGAGCTGCTGGAGAGAGTCCAGCGCAGGGCCACAAGGATGATCAGGGGCCTGGAACATCTGCCCTATGAGGAGAGGCTGAGGGAGCTGGGCCTGTTCAGCTGGAGAAGAGAAGGCTGAGAGGGGACCTGAGCAGTGTCTAGAAGTACCTCAAGGGAGGCAGGTAGGAGGATGGGGCCAGGCTCTGTTCACTGGTGGCCACTGACAGAACTAGAGGTAATGGCTGGAAACTGAAGCACCAAAAGTTCCACAGGAACTTAAGGAAAAATTTCTTAACAGTGAGGGTGCCAGAGCACTGGAACAGGCTGCCCAGAGACGTTGTGGAGTCTCCTTCTCTGGAGATCTTCCAAACCTGCTTGGACGCAGCCCTGTGCCATGTGCTCCAGGTGACACTGCATGTGCAGGGGGTTGGAGTGGATGATCTCTAGAGGTCCCTGCCAACCTTGGGCATTCTGTCATTCTATGGCCCTGAACTCATGAAGTGTTACAAGGTTGGTGTAAGGTATAAGTTTGTTCCCATTACAGGTAATTAAATACCTCAAAAGGCCAACTTGTTTGCAAATGAACTGATCAGAGAAGTCAAACTCACATGTATTCTCCCATCCTTGATTGCTGGCCCCTCTTCAGCAAGTCGAAGGATGAATAAGCCCATGTTGTACTCCTTTCCTCCACGAAGGCTGAACCCAAACCCTCGAGGACCTCTTTCCAATTCTACTGGATAGCAGCCAGGATTCTGTGGAGGAAGCGACACGAAAAAAGATGAAGAGTTGTAGGCATATTTAAACTTTCTTTTTTCTAGAAAAATTCTTGAACTTTTTGAAGAAGGTGCAATACACTATTTAACCTGAATTCATCACAACTCATGTATGATTAGGTGTAATAGTTTTATGCCAAGTCAAAATGTGCAGAATATTTTTCTGTCTAAATTTTAGACACACGTGAAATTTCTTTAAGAAATCTTGCCCAAGAGCCCAGACTGGCCTAGCTCCAAAGATTTGCTGTTCCTTTTATAGTAAGTATTTATACTAAGGAGAGAATCAAATTTATAACATTAACAAAACATTCTCTGGAATGCTTCAAGTTCATTTTTATAAGCAACCTTTCTGTCCACATCTGGCAGGAAAACCTTTCACTGCCTCAGTCCTCAGCCATGATGAAGCAGTATTTTGCATGCCCTGAAACTTGGGTTGTTACCTGTGCCTGGGGGTGACGGCTTCCAGCTGTTGAAGCAACAGCCCCCTCAGACTGTGACAAGTGCTTATGCTCGGGCCATGAAAGCCTGTAAGTATTTGATACTTCTTTTCCAGCTTCACCTTCTGTGGTGGCCCTTCAGAGGTAAAAGAAAATGGATGTTACTTTGCATTTAGAGAATTTTCATCATAAGCTTTATAACATATTTACAGTGGAAAGCAATACACAGTAATTCAGCTGACAGTTCAGGCATCTTGCATGTTGAACACATAATAACTGCATGTAAGGCTGCTTCTTGATCATCTATGGCTTACAAATAAAATCACTAGGAGCACACTAGTGTCACCTAATGCCAAACTCTTGGCACAGTGGCTGAGAATGCAAGCTTATTCTCTGTAGCTGCTCCTCAATCATTTCCTGGGAAAGCTCCTCCACAATCCTTCTTTCACACAGACCTGCTTCCTCTTGACCTAGTGCATCCCCACTTCACCCACAGAACATGAAGTATTGCTGAATAATGCCTCAAATGTTCCATTTCTAGGAAGTCACCTCACCTTTATAATTTTATCCCACGCATTGTCATCACCACAATGCCGAATGAGCCTCACTACTGATTTTCCAGAAACATGGACTCATGTCAATGACCGCTCCATTCTGACACTGCTCAAAGGCAGCCTTCCATTTTAAAAATTAAAATGGATGTCATGGGATTATTCTTGTAAGTTGCAACCACCCCACTGGTCAAGCTTTTCTGGTTGTTCTCAGCCTCTTTTGCCCCTGTCAAGAGCTCTGTACCTGTCTGCACCGGGAGGGTTGCTCTGTGCTGATCCCAGAGGTCTGTGCTGCGGAGCTGGACTCTGCTTGGCAGAGTTTGTTCCTGATGGAGGACCACAATGTTCTAGTGAATTCAAACAAAATCAACAGTCAGACCTTCCCAAATACAGAGGTATGGGGGACATTTATCGTAAGACCTCAGTCAGATTAGGTCTCCCAGTAGTTAAAAAGGGGAAGAGGATTTTCCGAGGTCTGGTGCCATAAGCCAGGAATTGCAGCAGAGCTCATTGATTCCACTGAACGTAATTCCTATGAATTTTATTCTTATCTGAATTTTTCTTTTTTTTTTTTGTCAAACAAAGTCTTAACTGAAACAGACATGAACAGAAGTATTTTAGACTGCCTGCACATAGATAAAGATTGGAAGGTATTAGAGCTAGTCAGATCCACAAAATTGGTTCACATATATTTAACATAATAAAAAATTATAAGAAATGAAAAATAACACTTATTTGAGAACATATCCCTTTCTGAAAGTAAGAGAAGTCTGAGGATCTGCAGGGGCCCTTAGGATTCACGGGTTAAGGTGCTAACGGTGGGGAGGAAACTGTCGGTTCATTTAAGCCTCAACAGAGTTTGCCACAGGAAAGCTACTGGAAAGATGATGAACTATTCTGACAACTGATGCAACTTGTTTTCTGGTATGTTATCAACAGGAATTTTAGGCATTTTGCCTTCTCCCACAGACTGAATAAAAATGTGCAATGTGTAAACTGAAGTGTATGGCATTTCAAGAAAATCTCGTCAAGCAATTCTTAGGGTGATTTTTCCCTTCCACACAAAATACAATGACTGAACACTTGCAGTAAATCCACTGCATTTGTGGAAAATCTTGTTTCCAGGTACAAAGAGTCTCAGTCACTTAAAAGAGCACATTTTACACAGCCTCTTAGATAGAACCTTAAATGGCAAGTTGTAGCCTAAGATGGACCTATGTACCCAATTATAAACTAACGAACTCCTCCTTTATTAGTTTTTTTTTTTTTTTTTTTTTAAACATCCTGGAGAGACGAACTAGGTATGTTCCAGTCTTCTGGTAAGTGTGTCACAATAATCCACTTTTGAGTCTCAATAAACAGACAAGTAAGCAAACCCCAGGAAAACATACAAAGTACACATACACCTTAAGGTAAGGAAAACATAACGCTGCTTTGTCTGCTGCACATTATGAGACTGAATTTTGCAGGTGTGCCAGACCTCAGAAGTCCTTCAGAGGACAGCCTGGTGCTATTACTGTGACATGCCTTGGAGAGGTTTTGCCTCTAGAGACAAAATGCCAACTTTTTCTCCTGCTTTATACTCAGAATTTTAATTTATAAGCACAGCAAGGAAAAGGCCATCTGTTTGTATGAATTCTGCAGTCCTCTATTCAGCCTGCTCGCTTATATTTCTAGCTAATACGTGACAGAAGCTGACAGGCTCCTGCTTTTGTGAAAAACGTTAAAGAATGTCTTCTGGAGCATGAAGCGAAACTCGTTTATTCCTATGAAAAGCAAAGATCATACATCTGTGAAAGCTGGGAGGGAGGAAGGCGCAAGCAGAAGGATACAGGGCAGTATTTTCATCGCCAGTCTGAGGATAGCACTAAAGAGGGGGCACTGGGGGACACTGAGCTCCATTAGGGTCACACTTTGTGATGCTGAAGAGCTGCTGGCTAAACAGGCATTCTTCTCATCCGAGCTACACATATTATATTCTTCCTAAGTGTTATCTTGTGAACAATCTCAGCAAAGCCCAACTCTCCCCAGCTCTCCAGTGGGGGAAAATGATTGAAGTCCTGACTAATTTACATCCACTCCAGCTTCCTTCCCTCGGGGATCTGGCTTGTATGGTAGGTTGCATTGAGCTGAACTGGATTTCTCCAGGTAAACAAACGAGAATTTTAAAACAGTAACACACTCTCCTTTCTGTGCACGAGGCTCTGCTTGCTTTTCCTCCACTGTCCCCAAGTTCTCAATATTGAAACTTGCCAGTTTTGGCTCCTCTAAGTCACACAGTTTTTCTGACTGCTCTTTTCATCTATTTTGCTACTGACAGTTTTTTCTCTCATTGTTGATTCTAGCTCAAATTGTTAATTTACCTCTACATTCTGGCTACAAATCTGTGATTGAGGAAACGGAAGAAGATCAATTCCTATACGGAGCCTAGGAAGGATCATAATAAATCAAGGACAAAATGGTTATATTAGGAAAGTTTCCTCTAAAGACAAAGTTGATTAAGATCCCTAGAGAAAGAGATCTAACACAACCAACTCAGACTTCAATTGCATTATGAACATTGCCCTGGGCAACTGCTCTGAGGTGCATCTATTTAGTCTGAAATGAATTAGATTGGAAAAAAAAAAAGAAAAAAAGAAAAAAAGAAAATCTTCATGGAAAAATAACTGAATTTATACAAGTCAGTCTGCTTCAAGAATTAACAAAAAGAGAAAGTAAGTCTTTGGCATTCCATACTGTAGGCTGAGATAGCATGTTAAATATTTGCAATGAATATGAAATTAGAGAACAATCTGTGGGCTTTCTTCACAGTCTGGCTTTAGGTATTTATTATTTTAAAGGTGGGAAAAGCCAAATTTCTGGCACAATAACAATAGTTGATTTAATTAAACGCATAAGCAGCAACCCAGAAAAAGCCATTAGTAAGCAGGGTTGGAAAATAGATTTTTTTCTCATTAAATGGTTGGATTTTACATATTTATAGTGAAATGTTTGTATAGGAACAATACAATGCTAAATGCAATGTTGCATGAGAGATTTAATTAAAAAATATGAGCTCTGAAGATGTGACTTTGCAGCCACAAATATCCATTCTGCTGTTTAGGGGACATGACTGCTCTGTGCGAAGAACGTGCTGAGCAGCCTGGAAGGCTCTGCAGGAAACGATCTAAACAGGATTTTTATGATGGGATGCGACCATTTTTCAAAATGTGTTTTTAGAAGACACAAGAACTTCGGAACATTTCTGTTGTATTCAGATGCAGTACTAGGCAATTTGTGTATTTTCACATAGCAGGAAGAAAAGATGCAAAGTGCCTAAGTGGAAAGTATCTAAAAGGCAAGTGTTCACAGGCTTTCTCGTGAGCAGCAGTCTCTCTCTCACTTGAGAAACCATGAGTATTTCTCTTACTCTGCATCAAGTTCTCCATACATCTTATATTTCAACATAACTACTTCAGCAGCAGTCTAATTCTGTCCTCTTTGTGCAGAGTCCTACACAGCAAATGAATGAGCTTCACATTCAATGTGAGATTTTCTTTAAATTCCGAACACCTCTCTCTGCATTAACCTCAGAAGGTATTAAACACCACTTTTGAAATGCTTCACTTCTGGTAGGACACATTCACCCGACTGTTATGCATCTTCCTCACCTTCCTCAGCAACGACAGTCAGAGTGACCACGTTGCCTGCGTCTTTGATCAGCTGCACTATGTTGTCATGTGAGAGCTCGACGATGGATTGACCGTTCACTGCCGAGATGCGGTCTCCCACCTTCAGCTTCCCACACTGCTCAGCTGGGCTGCCCTCTATAACACGGCCAATCTTGTGAGGAATCACTAGGAAACCAAGAACAGGCAGGTCAGCTTTTTCAAATCACAGTTAATACTCATTTAAGTTAGGCGCTGTACAGACTCAGAATTACCATAATCACCATGCAGACCGTTCCTACTCCAAAAGGTAGCGTTTTAAAATAAATATTGAGAGGTTGTTCACCAACAGTCCAGAAGCTGATGCGTATGATCAATAGAGTGGCTCTCCTGACAGGTACCTAAGCTGAGCTTCTGACCCTGCCCCAGAGAAGCCTCTCTCCCTCTCTCCACCTTCCCAGCAGCGGATGTGCTGGGCCTAAAGGTGCTGCAGGAACAGTCTGCTGCAGTGTCACCCATCTGCAGGGCTACACAGTGCTACAGAGAGGTTAAGAAGGTAAAGCATACATGGTTAACCTGTAATTTTTTGGTCTGCATGCTGAACCCACGGGACCATGTCATTCTGTGTCAGTTTGGCAGAAAGGCTGTGTGGTGATCTCTGAGAAAGGGAACAAACCAGAGAAGGCTGCTGAGGTCCCTCAACACTCAAGATACACTTCACCTGGCCTCTGCAGGGAAGAGACACAGTGTCAGCTCTTCCAGGAGTGCCCCCCTCTTCCTGACACTTGATCCATCCTATGGCTCTAGGCATTTTGAAGACTCTTAAACATGTTAGTAGTGTTAACCTTATCCTAGGATTAGTGACTTGAAGATAATAATAAGGTGGAACCACCTCAGTGTCCCTCCCATATATGTTGCTCCAGTTCAAAGGTGCTGAACCCTGATGCCAAGGGAAGAGTCCACATTCTGCTAGCTAAGAGCTGTCCAGTGCTTGGGTCTGAAGATCCAAGAGCTGTCCCCAGTCAGAGAGGAGCTGTTACCATGGGACAAGCACACTACAACCTAGGGCAAAAGCAAGAGCAGCTCACTGTGCTGTTTGCACCTGATACTAAAGGCATTGAACTAAATCAAAGCACATCAGTCTGTGTTCCTATACATCTACAGCAACCTTTCACTCATCTGAGTCCCTAAAGCACAGCAAAATGTTCCAGTCCTTACAGAACCTCACCAGGGCTCTTCTGCCCACCGTGCAGGCTTCTTAGCAACTCCATTTCCAAGCAGCACTGTCACTTGACTCACCCCTCTGTACTCTTCATGAGTGCTCTTCCTGTTCCTGCCTGTAAAAACCTGTTTGGATATCCAACAAAGCCTGAGCCTGGAGTGGTTTTGACATGTACCTGGCTTATTAAGTTTTTTTAGTCCCTGCTCTCCCAAACATGCTTCCTCCTTTTGAGAGACCAAATTGACAAGGAATGTTATGCATTTTTCAAGATTATCAGCAAGTATTTCAAAACCATGACAGCAAATCTGAAGCACTTTCAGAAAGAGACATCAGCTGAGATCATCACCCAAGATGAAAAAAACATCAAGGTTTATTTTAATGAGGCAACACACAGAGCATTTACTGGACAAGAACAGCCATTAAAGTCTTCTAGCATTTACCATGAGTTTAATTTTTAATTACACTTCCCTTAAAAGAGTGTTTTTTTAGTATAATCTAAACCTAAGAACCAACTGTGAAGAGAAAAACAGGGTTGCAGACTCACAACTGCTGATTATTTGCTTTAAAACAGCCCAGCTTTACAGGAACGCAGCCGCTTCATTTTAAACTGAGACAAAAAGTTCAGCACCCAGCACATCAGCTTACCTGTCTGCTATTCCTGTGTGTTAGAAACAGCCCAGGATCACAGTGCTTATATTTCAGTCCTGAAATGGGTTTCAATTAACTTCTACTATTTCCAATAATAGTATCAATCTAACATAGATTTGCGCAGATTCCCTGACAAAAATGTTGTCTACATCAGTTCTGCTTGTATTATTTTTATTAATATCCAACTGCCTAGACAACACAACAGCAGCCTACAGTGATTCTAACACAGGACACAATTTTCACAGCATCAGAGGGTGACAGGGCCAGGCCCAGCTGTTACCATGGGAACTGCTCTTATGAAAAGCTCAGCAGCTCCGCGTGAAATGGAGGAGCAGAAGAAAGTGGCCGAGTTCAAAAAAAGACACACAAACCATCATTGTACCATGGACCACTTGAGGAGGTTCGGAAAGGTGATTTACACCAAGCAACTATATGAACTATATGAATGGGGTAAATGAACTACCCATGTTTTAATGGCAATGAACTGAGTGAGTTTGTGGGTGAATTCACTGAGCTGGTTTGGATTTTAAGGGCTGACACAGATAACTAACTCAATGGACAAAGGGAACAAATCTCAACAGGATGATCCTACTCATCAACTCATGCAGAAAATGTTCAGTTTATACTTGGCACTGCTATATAACTAGCAGCTATCAGCACATAGAATACAAAATGCATTTGATTACACAGAACAAAACTGCTCGTGTAGAGGGTCACGAATCTGTCCATTAATTGTGTTGGATTCCAGGGCTTCCTGCACGCAGCTTCTCTTATTTGTTTCTGCTCACATCGTATCTTTTCATTTTTGCTTTTAACCTCAGTTATTTTGCTGTTTATCTTTTCAACTATGCCTGAAGACAAATCCATATATAAGAATTGTAATACAAGGTTGTGATACCTCTCACTTTGAGGATATTTTGAGGCAAACACCCTGTCTTCCTGACAATAATAAAATTGAAGCTATATTTGCATTAAAATGCCTATGAATTAATGAAGTGTACAAAATCTACCACATTAGCACAGCCTGAAAACTGTCCATGTCCTGAAGAATAATCTGGCACAAATGCTTCACACTCCCATGTATGGACTGGTTGAGTATGATTTATTTTCTCCCTGCTCTTCACTTATGCCACAGTTGGGTAAAAAAAAAGGTCATAAACATGAAACAAAACAGACTAAACTTCAGTTGTTTGAATTATGAGAGTATTGTCAATGAAACAAGACCAAACATGCACAGACTGCTGTATATGTAACCTAACCACAGCCTGGGGAAGGGAAGATCACTGAAGAACCCACAAGCATGCCTAAGCCCACCTGCTAAAGACAACAGCAGCTTTGGTAGAAGCGTCACGCTAAAAATACCAGCCACCAGTGAAGCCAGGTACTGACAACACTGGGCTGAATATAGCACTTACCGCCAGGTGGAGGTTTATTTTTTGAGGTGAGAATGACGAAGCCAAATCCTTCATTTTCCTTTCGCTGTAGACGGACATCATAGACCTCTGAGGACTGCTGGCTTGCAAACTCCAACCTATTCAGTCGGGGAGACCCATTTGGGCCTGAGATAGACTGTGACTCTTCCTCCTCTGGTTGCTTTTCTCCTTACAGGACAACAAATGAGAAAAAAATATATTGCTGTTTTAATAGGCAACTACAACAAAACTGTACACAGCAGTATTAGCACCAGGATGAAGAAATAGTGCCTGCTTGGGAAAGCAGTGGGCAATAACAATGAGTGTTATTACTCCATTTACACAGCACAAGCAGCTGTTCTAAAACATCTGCAAAAAGGAAAACATCAGCCTCGTCCTAACTTTCAGAGTCCTACTTGTGCAAGCAGTGCAAGCTAGCAAGCATCAAAAGGATCAGCTTATTAAATTCTGCTTTTCTCCACTTACTCAAAATTACAGATGACAGTCTTTAATCTCAGAAGTCATTCTGTTCTACTGCAATAATTGATATGTTTCAGTGCAGTTTTAGTTGAAATGATTACGAAAATGGAGGTATTCCTTTAGCCAGGCTCCATTTCTTACAGTGCACCCTCCTGACAGACACGTACCACCAAAGAAGATCTTCCTCCGGACTGTGAGCAGCACTTGACCATTTCGTGCAGCGCTGGTCATTAAGTCCAAAACTTGTTTGTGTGATTTCCCTTTAACAGGCACTCCATCAATGCACATCAGTTCATCAGCAGCTCGAAGCCTGCCGTCTTTTTCTGCTGCTCCCAATGGGATTATGGCTCCAATATAAATCTATCAATAAAGCACAGTCAGTGGGGGGTTTGAACTGTAAAATAAGAGCATATCAAAATACTTAATGCTGCCAATCTATACAAATCCAGATAGAAAAGCGCTTTCGGAAGGATATTTTTAAAGAATCTGTTTATCATATTCTAGCAGAAACATAGCCAGTGAGCATAGTCTGTGCCAGCTGAATGGATACAATTTGGGGCTCAAAGCATCCAATAAATAACTCAGAGCTTTTCAATGAATTCTGGAAGCATCCTTATCTTATGAGACATGACAAGTCCAGAGTGTCTGGGGCAAAAGCAAAAGCTTTGGATAGAAACCAGCTTCACCTGTGAAAAGATACCGAGACAGCTCCATGCTTTATGTTTTTTAGTGTCTAACTATCAAGAGCTATGCAAAGAATTCAAAGAGTTACATTCCCTATATCAATTTGGCCTACCACATCCCATAAAGTGCCAGGTAAATGGGACACAGAGGAGAATAACATACTCTAGTTTATATGCTACGATCACATTCAGGTTAAATGAAAGATTAAAAACAATTACTGTCAATAGCTGTCTGAGGTTAAGCATTAGACAGCAGGTCATCTGTACACAGCAATTTCATGACATTAGCTTGACACCTACTAACAGCTATTGTTATAGAAACAAAAAGACAATAAATGCTATAAAGTGCAACGTAAGGAAAACTGCTTTTTCTTCCCCAAGAGAAATGCTGCTCTTCCTTTTATTCAACTGCATATTTGAAAAACTCAGGCATTGAATCACAGCTGCTAATGGGAAAAGATAAATTTTCCTACAATTGTAATCAGAAAACAATCTACCGGCATATCTAGTCCAAAAGCTTTTCCTCTTAACTTGATAGTTAATGAAATATTCCCTGATGATATAGTATATCTTTAACTTCCTTCCAAGGAAATTTTTTGGCCTTTTATGAAATATAGCAGATTCCTCTTAAAGCCCACCATAACAAGAATGGACTATCCAGGACTTTCCACAAAACATTTACCATTCTGCCTCATCTTTGACATTCTTTCACAAGAATCTCAAGCAGAGACATCATCTGAGCCAAGACTCTAACAGGACTGGCAGTACAACATGCAAAGGCTTAGTGCCAACACTATCCTTCACATCATTCTCAAGATATAGCAACAATTACAGAAACATAGATCAGTATTACATGCTTCATGGAATATTATTATTGCCAAAAAAATAGAATCTAGACAAATAGAAAGTGAACATTTTTGTTTTGGACTGAAGTCAACCACGAAAAGGAAAGGAAAGAAAGGTAACTAGCCATTTTCACAGAATCACAGAATGGTTGAGGTTGGAAGGGACCCCTAGAGATCATCCAGTCCAACTCTGCTCCAGCAGGGACACCCAGAGCAGGGGCACAGGGTGGCACCAGACGGGTTGGAGATCTCCAGAGCAGGAGCCTCCACAGCCTCTCTGGGCAGCCTGTCCCAGGGCTCTGGCACCCGCACAGGAAAGAAGTTCTTCCTCATATGGAGGTGGAACTGCCTGGGTTTCAACTTGTACCCACGACCCCTTGTCCTTTCACTGGCCACCACCAGGAAGAGTTTGGCCTCATCCTCCCTGCATTCTCGCCTCAGGTATTTATACATATTGATCAGATCTCCTCTCAATCTTCTCTTCTCCAGGCTAACCAGGCCCAGCTCGCTCAGTCTTTCCTCACACGACGGCTGCTCCAGGCCCTTCAGCATCTTCGTGGCCCTGCGCTGGTCCCTCTCTAGCAGCTCCACGTCCCTCTTGTCCTGGGGAGCCCAGAGCTGCCCCCGATGCTCCAGGTGCCTCCCCAGGGCTGAGCAGAGGGGCAGGATCCCCTTCCTGGCCCGCTGGCAACGCTCCTCCTGCTGCAGCCAGGATCCTGTTGGCCTTCTTAGCCATGAGGGCACATTGCTGCCTCATGGCTAACTTGTTTTCAACTAGGACTCTCCAATCCCTCTCCACGCAACTGCTTTCCAGCAGGTCAGCCCCTAATCTGTGCTGGTGCCTGGGGTTATTCCTCTCAGGTGCAGGACCCTGCACTTGTCCTTGTTGAACCTCATGAGGTTCCTCTCTGCCCAACTCTCCAACTTGTCTAGGTCCCTCTGAATGGCAGCGCAGCCCTCTCCACATCGCCATTTTCTTCCTTTCATTTGAATGGGACAGGAGCTTAAAATCTGTGCTTAGTTAAAGGTATTTCCTTTGTCTGCTGTCATACAGCTTATAACAAAACCTAAACCCACGCTTCAGCTCTTTAACTCTTGGTTTCTCACAGACACTCAAAATGATTACAGAGACTAAAATCACCTTTTGCAGTGCTTGGGTTATGAGCAGGGCCATTTCTGGCCCCCAAGAAGGTTTGATGCTGGACATGAAGCTAACGGTCTTTGCTGTCTAAAGCAAAACAGCATGCAAAGAACACCAAAAGCAAGTACTAAGTACTACAATTAGTTATTCTGACAGTAACATTCCTGAATCAGTTAGAACGGGAGAGAAATGAGAATGATAGAGCAGGGTCATTCTAAGAGGAGTACTGTAAGATAATACGTGGGCAACTGTAAACAACTTCACTTACTGGTTGATCTGGGCCATCGCCTCCAAGCACCCGGAAACCAAAGCCTGACTCTTGTTTCCGCAGGAAAACATCCAAATCTCTTGTGTTTGGAGCTAAAACAAAACAAGTATGAAAAAAGCTTTTTCAAGAAAAAGCTGAAAAAATAAAGGATAGTTTAACGAAGGTCACAGGATAAAACAGAGCTGCTTTCATATGCAGCCTTGGAATAAAATCCAGACTGTAATATGGTTCAGAACTATATTCTAGAAACACTGAAATTATGAGGCTTATTTCAGAAATTTGATAATCAGAGCACCTTAGAGCTTGAAGAATTAGAATTGTCATATTGTGGCAAATTGGTGCAACTTCCTTTTTTCATGACCTCTTACTAAATACAACACACAAATTCCCTACTGTATTCCAGTGTAGCTAGAGTAACTGATTTTTGGCATACCAAATTATTTGACATGTCAAGTTTGCTTAGTTTTCTTTTTCTCTGATCTCCAATGTTAGTCCTTAATGACTTTGTTGCAAACAGTATTTTTTAAACTGTCTGTACAGTCTTGCTATGGAGCCATTTACATAAGTCTATCTGCAGCAAAACTCAATTAAAATATTAACAAAGGGTTCTTCAGAAAACACCATCAGCCTCTTCTAGCCTATCACTAAAACCTGTGCTTGCAACACTATGAAAGGACTTATATAAGCACTGGAATTCTTTAATACAGCTATGTCAATGTCAGCAAAACAGACTTTATTTTCTACTTCTTATAACATTTATTCCTGGCTAATAAATGTTACTCAGGAGAATATCTGGCTCTGTTCAGATATACTGACATCATTTAAATTTCACCTAAGTACAGATGATGCTAAAATAGTCCATGTCTCTCAAACAATCTGTTTTGGAAGAGGAAGTTGCTTTTATCAGGTCCACAAAGTGAACCTGTTCAGAACTTTCTGGTCAGGAAACAATCTTAGAACATTACCCCATTTCTGTAATTAACCATTTAATCACAAATATGTTTGGGGAATATGTTGGAATATGCACAGGAGGATACGCTGGCTGATGATCACACATTTAGAAGGAACATCTCATTTGCTGATGGGGTCTTGTGTAAGTGAACTTGCAAAGCAGTCATTACAATGTCCCTTTTTACCTCCCTTGCTGTAACATCAGCCCGCTGTTTTAGCGAGGTAGCCCCTATTATTGATTACTCATATCAGGGAGTAGCTTTCCCAGCAGCATTTCCAGGATATTTATGGAACAGGTTTGGCTGACACTCTTGGCGCAACAAAAGGTTTTTGTTTATCCCACGGTACATCCGATACAATGAGTCAGTAGCTTTACACAATAGGTACTTGTTTTCACTGACTGGTTGGGTATCTTTGTTAGTAAAACCAGATAATGTTATAAATGAGGTGCTGAGCTATAATTTCCAATGCAGCTGTATATGCCACATCATACAGTGTTCTTCCCAAGCGTGCCTTGAACATTCACAAGGTTAAAGACCTGCAGCAGTAACCGGAAAAGAACAAATAGGTATTTTAGCAAGGCTAAAGGGGAAAGCAAAACTTTCTTTAGGAGGTTCCAGTTTTTTTAAATTTCTGTATGAATTAGACATTCCTCAAAATGCTGTATATACACAAAATAAATGGCTAAGATGAAAGGCACAGTAGTTTTACCACATTTATGACATACAGGAAGCATTATTTCATAATTTAACAATTCTAAGTTGAAGTTGATATACTCACGCTTGTCCTCATATATAGTCTTAGACTTCAAGTAGACTTCTGAAGGGTCTAGCTTAGGAGAGCCTGATCTTACAGCAGCGGGTGGAAAAGGCATAGGCTGTGGGATGGGATCGCTGAGAGCTTCTAGACTCCCTGAATTGTCTTGTTTATCTTTCTGAAACAGACCCCCCATTCCCACAAGATCCATATTAAACGAAAAGCAGTAACTGCGCTTGTTTACACATGCCTGCAAAGGCAACAAACATCAGTCAAAATGCACAGCAAACCAAGAGAATAAGGGCACCGTTTCCCCTAGTTTTTCCAATACATAAGCTGTGTTCACAGTAGGTGTCTGACCAGACTGATAAAGGCTTCCAGATGTGTCCTGAAACTCTACTGAAGTCTGGGCTTAGAAAGTTAGTCCAGGGACTGATGCTCACAGACAAACCTCTGTGATTCCTCATGATTGCAAGCTGAATCATGCTCTTGCTTGCAATTAATTTCTGTTTATTACAGGGTGCTAGCAGCTCAGCATGCAACTGCCTCCTCCCAATTTCAAGCTGCTGAATTATATCAAAACAACAGAAGAAACATGAGGTATCTTCAATATCAGGTCAACATTATAAAGTAGTGAACAGGAGGAATACAATGGAGTATTACTAGGCATACATGCAATCAGGAAAAAAAAAAAACACGGTATTTGTATTTTTCTGTTATGATGTTTCCGCAGCATTCTAATACTATTTCAAGAAGGACACTAAGTATCCTTGTAGCCTCCCATCCTAATTCCCAATGGTTTATGCACTGAAGTAATTTTAAATATTGATTCTGGGTTGAAACCCAAACTGGAAAACTGGAGCATGGCAGTCTGCATGCGTCTGTGCATGCTAAACAAAAACACAATTAGAAGAGACTTAGATGCCCTTTTAAGAAGGCTGGAAGAAAATTCCCCCAAGGCATTTAGTAGTTTGACACTTCTTGTATGTTTATAAACATAAGACCTTGCCCTTTTTGACTGAGTTAGTTTGCCAGGCTGTTTAATGCCACTGAACATTGAGTGCTCTGTGGGAAAGTTGCTCTCACGTGTCTGCTAGAATGCGAGACCCTAAGTCATAAGTATTTTTAGCATGCCTGCACAGAGTGCACTGAAGTAGGAGCTCTGCTGACAACACTCGTGTTCTCAAACTAAACAGATTTATGCCGTGATTTATTTGGTTTAGACCGCTGTATTCTCACAAGGAACCAAACCTACCCATTTTATAGAGTGCAGTCTGTTTTAAGCATAGTGAACTTGTGTGCTCAGACTGCCAGGATAGGACTTTAGTACTTGCGCAGCAGGTAACGGGGCTTTCCTAAAACTAAATAATTTCTGGTGTACAAGAAATATTCTTAAAGAAACATATCTGTTCTTGAGGTGGGCAGTGACTTAAGAGAAGAGTTCATGACAAAAATATATGTTACTGTGAATATTATTAAATCTCTGTGTGTTTTATTAATCCCAAATACTCTTTACAGAGCTAATATATATCAAAGATATCCCAATGGATCAGACTTTCAAGAATAATGAACATCAAACAAGAGATATATAACTATGTAGAGATTTTTTTCAACATATGCATTCAGAAATAAGGAAGCATTTTAAGAAGGGAGCTACTAACCAGTTCATTAATTTTATGTCAGGATTGAGAAACATCAAAGTATCTTAAGCATCCTTTAGAAATTCCATTTTTACTTTAATACAGGATACAGGTAATTAGCAAAGCAAAAAATGAGATGCTGTATTTTGTTTCCTCTTCAATGAGTATTCTGACAGCAATTACTTAGACAATTAATTCGTGCCAGCTAAACAGAGATGGTTCTGCCAAATTATTCTTGCAGATTATCACAGGAACTAAAATCCAGAGATGAGGTGACAAAAGCAATTCAAAGTATGCACACAGAGAAATATCAAGTCACATATTTCTACTAGTAGCAATTTCAAGCACAGTGACAGAAAGGGAATCATGAGAAAATTGTCACAGCAATGTCATACTTACAACCACAGCAAATTAACAATACTACACGTATAATCAAGACCTTTGCTGCATTTTTCATATCTCAGCAGTAAGAAAAGAGTAATTCATCATCACCATTGAACAATTCAAAAAACCTCACATGACTATAGAAGAACTTCTACATTAATCAAAGCATACTTTTGAGTCTGTTTTACAACCAAAAAAACTTGTAATTCCTCCATCAGAAATGAAGATAAATGCATCATTAATACTCACCACTTTGGCAGTTTTAGTAGGTGAAGGAGGACCTAAAGGAAAAAGAAGAAAATGTTAAACAGAATGAAATTTGAAATACCAGATCATCACTACCATAACAGCGTTAAACCAGTATAATCAGCTCCCCTTGGGTTGAAACTGATGACTGGTCATTCACTGTTCTTCTAAAATGCAAAGCAAACATCCAGTTGACCAAAACCATCATTCAGAGAATGTCTCAAGCTAGTCATCAGTTCCACCCTGAGGCTGATGCTTCGTCCTGCTGCTTGTGATCACCTGCCCATTGCAGCCAAGGTTCCTGGAATACATTTGCAAAGCCTCAAACCCCCCAGCCACCAGGCTGCTTGCTTTACAGTAGAGACTGCATTTTTTCTTTAACTCATCCCAGAGATTTGGAAGAGACTGTGCATAAGCATCTCAAAACATTTTTGCAAAAACAAAACTAGCTTCATGTTCTCAACCCCAAATACCCAAGGGTGTAAATTAAACTTAGAGTATGATAGCTTAGAGACATAATAAGCTGCTATTTAATTTTAGAAGCTGCACATAATTCACCCATCACACTGCAAAAGGTGTTTTAAAGAGCTTAGAACTGCATACGAGAAATGCAAATGTTACATACATACCTCCTCTTAAGATAAGCAGTGGCACCTCTGTTCCTACTGGAAATTGCTTCAGCACCTCTACCACCTGCAGATGTGTCAAGTTCTGTACGTTCTGATGACAAATCTCTTTGATTACATCTCCTTTCTGAAGGCCTTGGCACCACTGGCTGTCTAAAATCATTTTCACCTTCTGTCCTGTAGGACTGTCTGCAATGGCAAACCCAAAGCCTTTAGGACCTTTGACGAGAGGAATGGTGACCAGCTCTGCTTGAGATCCTCCTGAAGATGCCACAGAGACTCTCTGCTCGTTTGTGTCCACGGAAGGGCCGTTCAGACGACCGTTGACTAACATAGGGCCTGGCTTTCCGTTCTGGTCCAGTACAACTGTGCCTGGTATTAACTCTTGACTGGGCATGCAAACATCTCCTTTGGCCACAGGCGGTCCATTGATAAGAGGTGTAGCTGTCACTATATCTACAACAGAGTCTTCATTGTCCTCAGGAAGAGGGTAACCACGACACAAAGTCATGGTCGCATATTGGTTCACAGGAACTAGTTGAAACATCTGGACAACATCTGCATGGGTATGGCCAAGGACACAATTTCCATTTATGTCGACAATTACATCACCTGTTACAAAAGGAAATTCAAAGCATCAAACTCACAAATAAAGCTACCCAAACCTCTGAAACATTCTGAGGCTTAGAATAAATTCCTAACTGGAGAAAATTGTTGTACATCCTTAAAAATAATGAATGGGGGTTGTACTATTACCTCTTAGCAGTCTTTTGCCAAAAAAAAGCCTAACGGATTTCCTCTTTGTGTTTATTATATTTCAATCCAGAACACAGTGTGCTAAATATATAAAGTTTAATCTGCAGCAGATTTAATAAATGATATTATGCAGCCACAAAAGATAAAACAGTGCATGCGCATTACTGCAAGCAGATGTCTTATGCTTTAATTCATATTGTACTGTCTTCTAAACTCAATCCAGAATAAATCGGATTTTTTTTGTTTTTCTTATAATTATTTTGGGACTGGCTATAACTTGGGACATGCCCACGCATATTCTGTGTCCCTATACTGACACTCTACATGGTTAAAGATGTATTTCCAGTATGAAGAGGAAGTAGTTTCAGATCCTGAAACCTTATTTCATAATTATAATGTTCATTATGCACTTTGCACATACAGCATTTGTTAATTAGAAGGCAACTCAAAGTTCAGAGAAATACCACTTTACCTGGGGCAATTTTCCCATCCTGTGCAGCAGGACCATCTTTTAACACATTCTTCACCTGCAGAAACTCATCAGGTCGGTCCCCTCCGATGATCGTAAAGCCAAATCCCATTGTACTTTTCTTCAGGGATGTCCGTATGAGGGCTCCAGTAAGCTGGGCTGGATCTCTAGTGAAGAGAGACTTCTCTGCTCCTGTGAATGGCAAGATTCAAAACAACCCACCATCAACAACGCTGCTAGGAGGTGGCCATTAACTCCCCAGCTGGTGGTGACTGCAGACACGAATACAGATAATCAGAGAGAGGAGGACCAGAAAGGCTAAGGACCAAACCTCAGAGCATCGCTAACTAACAAACACTAACTAGAATATTTACAACTACTGGGAAAAAAGCAAGACTTACTTGAACTGATACTCAAATTGATACTCATCAAAATCTTAAATTTCTGGGCTATTTTTCATTGTTTACCTATAGATATCAATAACAAAGAACATAATATTAAGTGATACCTGATTTTGAAGGGCCAACATCAGTTTGTCCTAGCTGTTTTTTTCTTTTGGCTTCCAACACTGGGTTTTCAAACTGAGTTTTCTGGTTAATATGGCTGTAAACATACAAGAAAGAACAACATCGTAAGAAAGTCTACTTCACAGGAAAGACAACCACAAAAAACACACCTCAAATACTGCTTCTTATTATCTCATATACCCCTACTGTGACCTGAGTTATTTGAGGGTATTTCTCTTATGGGGATGAAAAGCAAGTAGCAATCACAGTAATTAATGTGAACAAGGAAAGCTTATTTCTACTGAGTACGTTTAGCACTTATACTGCATTACAATCTATACATACTGCATATGAACTGCTTCCTTATTTTCTGCTGAAGTCAACAGTTACTACTTACTCAACATAGTATGTTCCATATTGAGGGTCTTCTATTTTTTCCCATCCATAAGGAAGTTCTACAGTCAGGAAAAAAAAAGGTCTCCATTATAGTGGTAAGACATCTGCAAATATCAGAGTTCTTATGAAGGAATCACAAATTACAGACTTAAGGGAAAAAATAGAGAATACATATGCCTTTTTTCTTTCCTTCATTTGTTTGAGGCTGGTCTTTCTAAATAAAAAGCTTTTAGCCTGCTGCAGGGAATCTGAAGCCCTATACCTTTAGCTCATTGTTCTTGTTTTAGTGGATGGGGAAAATTTACATTTAATGGAATTATGCCGCTTTAAACATATAATAAATAAGGTGCAAACTAACCTGCTTAGACATGAAAAACATACAAAGGGAGAAGGAAAAACGCCTGTGTTCCCAAATACAGCACAAAAAAAGGACTATAAACACCTTACTACATCCATCCCAAACTTGAAACATCATATGTCTCCATTTCATTTTTCAGCTTGAATTTAAGACCACCCAGCAGGATTAATGCCACCTTTATTCATTCTCCCAATAACACCAGCATATTTCACTGCATTCTGACAACATTCCAGCATTCAGTCAACTCTAAAAGCTGTTAGTCAGACGTATAACAGGCAGAAGTGATGAATAAGAAGATGGTCCCCATCACGGGAGGCTCTTTTACTGTGTGATTGTTCTGATATTCACAATACAGTTCAGACATAGCCAAACTAGCTAGTACTTCTTTAGGTCTGACAGCATTAAATTCAGCACTAGCATGTCCTGCTGAGAAGACTAAATGCAGTTCTGTGCAGTCACTGTTTGACTGCCCTCGCAGCCCTGAGCAAGATAGCTTACAGTGAGTAGTACTCAGTCTTTTAGACATCCCTAAATTAGGGGTCTAAGGTAAAACAGATTTATGTAAAATAAAACCAGTGCTACAAAAACTTGCAGACATTTCAACCGACTGCAAAGTTCAGAAAGCTGCTTTCTGTGATGAATTCACATTCGAGTATGATGGTGCCCAGGAGCACATTATTGACTGAAGGTGATAAGTGGTTTATATAGAGGTCCAATAGCATAACTATTCTTATTACCTTGCCATGGAAATTTAAATACTAGAACAGATAAGTTAGCTATCTAGACATTGGGAAGGCAAAAATTTCTACGTAATCTTGTTTGAGGCTGCTCTAAGTTTGAAGGCAAGAGCAAATTTCCTAGCACATAAAAGCATGTTACCAATTATTAATATTAGCACCATTCCACATAATTTGACAAGAGACCCAGCGAGACTATTCATTTAAACGTTGTTCATTTGGATATCCTGCATTCGTCTACTAAAAGTGCCCTTTTTATCCTGTGGCGAGCTGTACATCTGTTTAATAAGCAGCAGAATGAGGCAGTTGCTCCAGCTGGCTTCATTATGAATACACGATTGTTAGGCTGTGCAATTTAGAAAGATGATAGACTATTTTGAGTGAGCCTCAGCTTTTGCAACATATCAGATGTTTGCAGGAGACGGAGTTATTTCTTACTTTTTTTTTTTTTTAGCTGACTAAATTGCATGACTATGTAGAAAATGGTTGCTGGAATTGCCTGTAAGCCAATCACAAACACACTGACTATGAATCTGACCTGTAAGTAATGGGATGAAGATTGAAGGGAGTCAGATTGCTCTCTTTACTTACATATTCATGTATTGTATCACATGCACTATGTATTATTAGATGTATTATGCCATATTTTCTTTCATTATTTGTATATTTCAGTACTTATGGACTTTTCCCTGCTGTTGTATCCCATCCTCACAACAATTTCCAGTGAGATCTTCACTAATATATCCAGATTTCTCCTCAGCAGTGTTAATGTAGAACAAAATAGTCATTCTCTTCTCGGCAATGTAGATATATCCACAATTCAATCAAATTCCTCCACCCCAGGAGAATGATGCTATGGTATTTTCCAGTCTAACTTCGTATTATCACTAAATGATGGACACTCAGCACTACACTGTTCACTCCAGAGAGTCACGTGTTTCAGGAAGAAGCTCCCATCTCAGCATTAATCCAACTGCAATGAAATCAGACACTTATGAGACTTAAAGGGAAACAACTGATTTCTGAATATCTCACCTCCATCTTCACAGTCTTCAGGAGCTTTGGCTTTCTTGCAGAGCCGAGGATCAAGCCACGTAGTTGTCTTGGTGTTATGGCTGTGGAACAAAACACAGAGCGTTGAAAAAAGAGAATTCCCTTCAACTGAGGAAACTCTATTGCACTTCTAAACTTCTAAGTATTTCTTACCACAGGCAAACTGTAGCCTTTAGACAATGTAACCTTTCCTTGCACCTCAGCCACGTCACAAAATGCTAAAAAGGCAATCATGGTGCTCAAAATACGAGCACGCTGGAGACTCCGCAGCATACGCGTGAGGAGAAACGCTCTCTGCTGCACGCAAAACCATTTGTGGGAATATCAGCTGTTTCTACCTCAAAGGAAACTCCAACGCCAACAGCAAAACACCTTCTACTTGCCCTTCGATAGGATTTGGGGTTTTTTGCCTTAGCATTCATAAAAGAGGCTATCTCACATTTGCACATATGAACTGCTTTCCTATCTCGGGCTTTCAACTGTGATGTTGATATTTTTAAACATATACTCCAAGCCAAAGAGCACATGAAAAGAAGAAATTAGCAAATTCTCATATTTCTGAGAAATTTCATACAGTTAAAGTTTATATGATGCTATACCTTACCAAGCAACATCCACCCAGCTTTGCATTTTGTAACACTCTCTAAACAAACTGACTTTGCACATAGAATCATGTTTTCCTGTGTCGTGGTTTCGAAAAAAAACATCAAAAATATATTGTATGGATTATACAGATGACAACAGCACACAAGAAAACATAATATTGAAGTCCTCTGTACAGTACATGACAACCATGAATAAAGAGTAGTAACAGTTGCTTAGATGAGAATACAGTGAAGAGGTTTGAAATCTGAAATTAACCATCTTCTGGGAGACATATTAGCAAAATAATTGCTATGCAGAAATTAGGTCATAGATGAAACGAGAAACAAAAATCACAGAATCACCAAATGGTTGAGGTTGGAAGGGACCTTGAGATCATCTAGTAATGCCCCAGGACACGTCAGGCTACTCACTCTATGAAGTAGATCATGCCCGTGTCTGTGTAGGCCATTTCCCAGTTCTTGGGTAGAGGTTCCAGGGTCTCATCCCTTGACAAATAGTTTCTGAAATCCATGGAGCTGCTTGTCTGGTTGTAACTGGGCACAGGTTTCATCCAGTCAGAAGGATCGGAATGTTTTTCTTTGTTTTCTGCAGTTGTTTAGGGAAAGTGTTACTATTTATCAGATGTTTGTGTTGTTTCTCATTAAGAACCTCTCTCTTACCCATTTATCTGAACATACCCATTTATCTGAAGTATATTTTTCCACCTTTTTTTTTAAACTACAAACTTTTAAAAGCTAACATGAACATTGAATTCTGCTTTTCCCTTTCCAAATAGAATTAGCTTTGTATTGTTTGTATTAAATAAAATGTACATGAATTATACTCTGCAAAGGGATTCCTCTTGCAGAGTGGATAATTTTTTCCTTCGTCTTCATGTAATTGGCACTACATGTTCTCAAATGACCAGTACATTTTATGATGCAATTGAACATCTGGCTGGGAAAACAGCTGTTTCTTTTAAACATGATTTCAAAATGGAGTTTTGAACACATTCAAAATCTTATCTGAATAGAAAATCATCTTCAAACTTCATCATAATAAATGGAGCAGTTCAAACAAGCACGAATGCTAGTTATTCATTCATAAAATACTTCACAGAATTTCTCCCCTTGTCAACTAACCTATCCCTCCACTGCCATTTACGGCTTCCTTTTCCTCCTCTTCCTCTTCTTCAGGAAGAGAACTGTCAATCCTTTGCATTTTGCTGACTGATGTGGTTCTTTTCCTCTGTGATTCAGTGTCAAAATCATTGTCAAAAAGAACTTGATCCACTGGATCAGGCTGAAAGGGACTGGGCTCTGCTGGAGGCTTTGGAGTACCATAGAAATTACCTGACCAGGAGATAAAAATCAGGATAATTAAAAGCATGCATACCCGTGGAAAGCACTGGTAGTTGTAGTGAACATTTTATTGTCTATACAAGGTGTTGGTGAAATACCAGAAATGTAATTTAACTTTTCGAAAGCATCAGCACCATCAAAAACAATCAACACTCATGAATTATCGATTAAAAACACATAACAATATGGTTTTTTCCTAATGTTGCCATTGTACATCAGAAACAAAAGTCTAGATTCAAAACTTACAACCTGCTACAGGCTTCCAAAGAAAATGTCCGATTTGTTATTTTGACTTGTATTTACTAATGCTCCAGAAAGAGACTTAAGAGAACAGTCTGAGAGAAGCAAACAGTGAAAATCAATTGCTCCTATTCTCTTGTAAAACATGTACTGATTATCTGGAATAACATGCAGCAATAGAAACACACTAAAGCCAAAAAGCAAATTGATTTTGTGCAGAAACATATACCATCTATTTACACAAACACAACTAAAAATAATTGATTTAAAAACTACAGCCCTGCCTTATCAGCAGG